CACACACACACACCTCCAATTCCTCCCTCTTTCTCTGCTGCGTGAATTTGTTTTCCTAGCGTGCGATTGGTAACGCTCATTTTTCCTCCTTCTCCCTTCTCTCTTTGGTGTGGCGAATATTTTGCATATGCTTACTGAGGTACACGTACCGGGGTTAGAGTTAAGCCCGGTTTGGTAATTTGGGATCTTTCATCTGCTTTCGGCACGAGGCCAATCCTACACTGACACAGAATCGGGTCATGGGTAGGGTTTTTGCCACAGGGCACGAGGATGTGCGTTTCAGCCTGTGCGTGAATGTGTGGGCGTTCTCCTTCACGCTGTACCACAGCTTAGCTCTCTTGCTTTTTTCATATGGTGATGCATGAAGGTGCAACACAGAGGTACCACCCTTGAGGTGACTAACACACCATCCCCAATCCCATCCAGAATAACACAGGTCTCTCCTCAAATTCAGCAGCTTTGTTGCCCCTTTTTCCCTCGCTGGTGTCTGGTGAGTGTGTCTGCAAGCTTCCCTGTGTGTGAAACTACAAAAATATATGGGAGGGACTTTGTGTTACTGATACTGAGAGCTTCAAATAAAGACTGAAAAGTATTTTATAAGTATTTACTATATTTCATTATGTGTTCATGTTACTAAAATTCAACTTAGCCTTCGTCTAAAAATTCCTAGTTCAATAATGAGAGCATCCATCCTTGCCAAATCATCAACTACCATTATACAAAATCTACTGTGAACACTTAGGAAGTATGAGGATTTCTGCACTGATTAATTAATCTTCATCTCAATCATGAACAGATGGACTTAATAATCAATCACACTTTAGGCTTTAAGAAAACATGAATGTCTTTGCAACTTATTTCAAAGCTACTTGTAGTCAGGTAATTTAACTAAGAAGTTAAGGTAAAAGACACATGTGGTTTATAGAGGTGAACAGATTCTTTTATAGAGAGATTCTAGGTGCAGCTAATCAGTGGCAGGGTGGGGGTCTCAGGATCACATCTCCGATTTGGTTCTGTTGGCTATGTCGACTGATGACTTCCAGCTTAAACCCGATCGGTTTGCTGGTGGTGAAGTGGCGGGGATGACAATTAGCACCTCAAGTCTGAAGCGAGGGAAGGCTGTAGGTGCTCACTGCAGTTTGGGAGCAGTTGTTGCTTCAAGTGGAGGACATTAAGCATCTATTCCTAAGTGGGGGAAGAGTATTGAGGTTTTGCAGACACATGACCACTAACCATGTGATCTTAATTTGTCCACCATTTTGGGCATGTGACAATCATGGTAGGGTCAAATGACTAAGCTCCTAATCACACAGGCCTAGAAACTGGTCAGTGACCCTCTGGCAACCACTGATGATTAGGGAAAAATGTGTACTCCTCAGCCAGTCAGGAAAAATCTCCTTGCAATTTCTTTGGTTGCTATTGCTGCATTTGCCTGTGGTTTGCATGGAAGACTCTGCTTTGTCTACAACCACTTGTATTGTCTTGGCATTGCAAACATTTGTTGGTTTGCATCGCCCTTTCCAAGAAGTCAGCAAATGTTTGCACATATGTCGGTATCCAAAGCAAAGCAAAGCACAGGAAGCCGCTGCAATCTGTTAGCGACCAAAGCAATAAAAACAATGTTTTTCTCAGCACCGTTTGCAACAGCCAGCAACCTCCAGGAAGCACTCGCCAACCAGTTGTGCGATATACATGTCACGCTCATGACCAGTGATTGTATCAGACCCAATATGTTGGACAACTATAGCAAGACTCTATAGCAGGAGACTGAAATATGGATTGTCTGCAGCAGTGTGGCTGCTGCACCAATCTATTGCAGTGAAGAGAGCTGAGAGAGAAGGTGAAAGTGTAAATTTTCTGGTTGTTCCCACCCTTACATAGGGTCATGTGCTGTGGGCAGTGACTGAAAGATGAGACAGCATATAAAAGCACACACAGCTTTAGATGTAGCATCAGGAGCTTGTTCTGTCAGGAGGAACTCAGAATAAAACTGTGACTCCAGGTCAGAAGAAACCAGCTAAATGCCCCGTAGGTGAGGTGGATTGTGAGTGATGTCACTGCTCAAATCCACCAGCCATGTCAACCTCAGTCATCACTTAAGATGCTTGAATTGCTCCACAGGGAGTAGGAGCTTTCTTCCCAAGAAAACGATGGGAGTAATCATTTTCTGCAAATGTACACATAAGTCTGATATACCCGCAGTAACCCCAAAAGCATCCAAGACCAATTCATTAACCCTCTCCAAACCAGTAAAACATTGGAATGAGCAAAGACCATTACCGCTCTGGTTTCCCTGTAGGTAATTGTCTTTCATAGTTTTCATTCCACAACCTTTTCCTCTGTTTTAATGAATACAGGGTTTGTTCGACTGCTTACATGTGGTGTTCATTGGAACCTTTATTAAGGTCTTAAAATCCAAACAAGAGGTTTAAAGTTTTGAGCGGTTTGACTAAACTTTAAACTAGACTTTATCATAGAATTTTGACAAGTTGTACTAGGAAATGCACAGTTGGAAATTCCCTGTGTTTAATGTAGCCATCATAAGTATACCTGTGCTATGCTCTGTGTGTGTGTGTGTGTGTGTGTGTGTGTGTACCTTCAGGCCTTCAGCAGGTGAGCAGCTGATTAGGACAAGGTTATTCCTGTGTGTATCTGTGGGAGTCCAGGGCCATAGCTCCTCACTGGACTCATCCTGGTTCCACCAGCAGAGTGCCACATCCTGGACACTGTTGAGACTTACATGTCTGTGGAGCCTACGACCACACCCGCCCAACTCCACACATACCACCTGGACACAAAAATACAAAACAGTGAAAATGGGCAATTAAAATAGTAGGAAGACAGAGATTCTTGAAGTTAGAACATATTTTATGAAGAATGGGAAAGATATGCGAGCATCTCAGTGTTTCGCTCATTTGGATTCACCTTCCTGGCCTGTTTTAAAACCCGAGGGCTCTGACACTTTCACGGCTGGAGCCCCTGGTGCCTCTGCTGTCCTTCCCCCATCCTGTTTTTGTTGATGTCTAAGGTTGTTTTTTCATCTTCCATTATTAATGTCTGTGTGCGTTTTGTTCTGTCGGGCTTGTTGTTTTAGTGATGTGCATATTTTTTGGGAAGGTCCGCCACGCTCTACGGGCCACAACAAAGAGACGCACAGTAATGAGCTCTCGTGGCGCTTGGGGGGGTGGGCGGGTTACACACATTCACACAGACACACAAATAGACACACATACATAAATATGTGCATGTATGTATACAATCATTGATTTATAAAGTAAACAAACACTCTTGGATAGACACACAAAGTGCAGGTACACACACACAGCCCCATATTCATACAAACCTTTCATATATTCTTTATCTTCAGCCATACTCACTAACACAAGGAACCAGAGTCAATGGCTAATGCGCACACATTAAGAGACACACACACATCCATGACCTCTGTCACACTGCAGAAGAATGGCTAAAACCTGATAGGTAGAGGGAGGACAGAGGTGAAGGAGGCAAAAGAGAGAGGAATAAATGGTGATAACGAATTAAAAAAAGCTGATTGTTTGGGTTTGGAGAGAGGGTTAAGAAAGGCAAGTGAGGTGAAAGCTGCTGTCATGCACTATAGCTTCGGGGAAATGAGAATTGAGGAATAAAATACAAGCATGAATTAATGAATGAGTGAAGGACGAAACAAAAAAGTGCACATGAAGAGGTTAAAAAGAAATCCAGATTAATTAGATCAGTATCAGTAATAGATCAATGAGAGGTTTGTGCCAAAATAAATGTTTGAAACCTAGGAAAAGAGCAGTTGTAACATCAAAATCCCCCTAAAAGGGCATCAGCAGGAATTTGGGAATATGTCTTTAGAAAATCAATTACTAAAAACATGTCTCAACAAAAGAAAATGGTCTAAAAGTCCCAGAACATGCAGAAATTAGTAAATCGACAAGCTGTACTGTATGAGTGGAGCAGATTTGAGAGTCAGTGGTCCATGTCTGCCCTCCTTGCCCCCTCGGGGGGGGAAATTTGCTTTGGACACAGAATACGCCTGAAAATGATGGAGCTACATCCGATGATAAAGGGAACAAAGAGTTGCTCCAAACAGCTGAACGGGAGATCACTGACAGATTAGAAATGGAAAAGAAAAAATAAAATCTGAAAATCACTGGGTTAATAACACACTCTATCTCTACCCCCCGTATGTCCCCTCCATCCCTACCCATCTCTTCGCTCTTCTAGGTTTTTTTTTCTGCTGGCGTTTGCTGGTCAGCAATAATCAAAAACCACTTTCTGTGGGCCGGATTAGTTTAGCCCCCCCCCTCAACGCCCCCTACTCTCCCTTCTCCAGCTTAGCCCACTGGACCAGGGCGGCGTGTACGCGTGTGCGTGTGTGTTGTAGGGGATGGGCAGCTGGGCATATGTGTACACATGTGTGTACTGGTCGCAGGTTGCATGCATGTATGTGCACATGCATTGACAGAGGTGTGTTGGATGTACAATATGGAGTGGTGGGGGTGATGCGGGGGGGTGTCTTATCAGGACTGTGCTTCTGGAGACAGACGCACAGCAGCAACGATTGCTTTTACACACACACACACACACACACACACACACACACACACACACACACACACACACACACACACACACACACACAGCCCTTAACAAAAGGGCCTGGCAGTAATGTGATAATGCCAGGGTTAGCGGTTAGCCAGCTAGCAAAGGAGGACAGAGTGTAGTTTTGTTTTGTGGGAAGAACCGTCCTACACATAATCAAGCATATTACTAACAGCTAAAAAAAACAAAAAAAAACAAAACACCTTCAGATCAGAGGGAGCCCAATACACACCTGAATGGAGATTAACAGACAGGAACAGGGAAGTCGCAGAGCCAGAGTCAAACTGGGAACATGTGAGCTATAAAGGCTACATTCTCATGATAATGTATATTGTATTGATGTAATACTAAACTGAACCAGTTGGAGAAATATTTATGACTTTTAATCCATTTCCCACCCTCATTTTCTTGAAGTGTGTCTCTGAAAACAATTTTTCCGTTTGACTGGTCTCATATGTGCTGATTCATGTCATGTGTACAAATGGAATATTTTCCTCTTTCAAAGCATGAAAAGAGCAGTTGGTGGTGGTGTGAATCATTTCATCGTTTACATCACAGACCACAGTTGGAGGCCTACATGGGACTCTACTCTAATTGCCTTATTAATTATCATTAGAAACTGTGTTAGGTTTAGGTAGTAAGAGGTTTTTTGTTAGGTTCAGGATATATGTTTATGTTTTATAAACTTCTTAGTTAGGTTTACAGAAACATCTTATTACATCTTATTAATAAACATTTTATTAGTTGCAGGGTGACACAGGTTACAGTCTGGATAAAATACATGCAAAAGACATGAAACATACTTCCCACTGAAATGCATTACATTCAAATTCATTTTAACTTCACAAAAATGAAATAATTTGTGTTCGCGATCATGAACAGATTTCTTTTTTTGTAACCTCTTCACATTTTGCCACAAGGCAACCTCATATTTAAGAAAATGTGATGAGAAAAATATTGGATTAATGGTTTATTATTTACAGCCATTTAAATAAGATTTAATTTTCACATCTTTGTCAAAATCCATAGTGATGGTCTACAGATTACAAAAATCAGGCCACCGTCCATATAGATTGAGAACAGACTGGAGGAAACTATTCTTAGTGGACTTTCCAAGCCAGATTTGGTAATTTATCTAGCTGTCACAGGGAGAAGGTCAATAACAAATCAAGGACCCAGCAGGTTCTGACTGAGCTTCAACATGTTTTTTTTCTTTCCTAGCAGCATTTTCATAGTTATTTTTAATGGCATTTCCTCTCCGGTGTCCACTGAAAGGACATGTAACTGTTTTACTTAATCTCAACAAGAAAAAGTACCCTACCGAATGTGAAACTGATCCAAGAAAACACTCTGGAAGTGTTTCCCAAGCAGCTGGCTACATTGAGTGCACTTTTTCTTTTTGGCCTCCGTTTTATTTTTATTTTTTAAACACTTCTCCATCTCTTTTTGCAATCATCAACCTAAAGACACACATGCTTAAGCACACACATTTCTCCATCAATGCGTTACCTGTACCTTGATTTCAGAGGGTGAGAGTTTGTCTGTTCGCCTGCCAGTCTCTGGGGAGTTCTGGGTCTTTTTGTTCAGGTAGACTGCCGCCACTTGGCTCTGCTCCAGGAAGGACAGCAGAATCAGCCTATCGCTCAGCACCGCTGGCAAAGACATCGTCACACGAAATGTCATCATTCAAAGCAGAACAAAAAAAACCACCACAACTGTGTGCTATTGAGGAGAACCATATTATTAGAGCACAATTACAGCTTTTACTTGTAAACACATGAGAAAAATGTGGAATAATTTAGTAGCAAATCTGCATGTTATGATTCATCAAGTTTTTCTGATTGTAAATCTACAAAGTCTGCAATAGCTTCATTAATATTCATCATTAATCACTGACAGCTGGACACATTAAGTAATAAAGACTGGGCTTTTTATGTGGAAAATATCCAGACCTATCCTGTTAGCTTCCACACTGTTAACTCTGCAACCTGCACAGCGTCCTGGAGATCCTTTCTAAACATTATGCTCTCCTTACACCTTAATGCAGCTTATCACCCTTCATCGGTTTCCATTAGTTTTGAGCATCTGTCTCACATCCCGTCAATAATTCTTCCTTCCTACTCTTTCCTTTTCACCTAGTCTACTCGTTTCCTATCTCCACCTTCCTGCATCCCCCCCTCCTCTGTATCTCTTCCCCTCCTGTCAGTGCACTGGAAGCTCTAAGGCCTTTTTGTGGTAGAAGAACACACTTGATCCTGTTCAACTCTTCAGGAGCTGCATGGAAACGCTGATTAGCAATTAAGCCTCCCTCTCCTTCAAATTAATCTGTTTATGAAACCAATTAAATGGAAAGGGTGGGGGTGTTGTTACACATGCAGGATATCTGCTGCTTTGAGTTGAACGAGTAAGGCTGCACCCCGAGATTCAGAAATCTAACCAGCAATTAATCATGGTATGTGTGTATTTATAAACGTAGGGTATTGGTACGATTACACGTCAAATTATCCTGTTGTGTGAAAATTTCAAATTAATATGCAAATATTCACGTGCGAAGAGAAATGCAGAAAAACTAGCATTTTAAATCAGGTCAACTGAGTCAGGTTGTCCTCATGTTGAAGTTGGATTATAAAGCATTCGTAACTAAAACTGGTTCAAGGCTTAAACCATTAAAACACAAAACAACAACAACAACAAAAAAAACCCAGCCATTAACGATGCCTTAGCTTTACAAAACAACATTTAATGCAGTAGTAAGCGTCTTTGTAATAGATTATAGACAAATCGAGTTAAATGCAGTTTAGTATTGATCTCGATGGGTGTCTATAAACGGGATTAAGATTAATCCCATTCATTTCCAAATGAAGGAAGGGATGTGAACCCAGGCTGTGGCCCAATCTGGGACCAGGTGGCTGATTTGGCATTAAGAACCAGACCTTCATGACCCACCCGTGAACACCCCAGACGCACACACATTTTAGACACATTCAAATCTACAATTGCAGACAAATGCACGGATAGCTACAAATACATTCATACAGACAAGCCTGCAACCACAGTTTATGCATGCATTTCTACACTCAGTAACACATGTAGAAATGCATTCACGCCCACAAGCATACGGCAAAGCTAACACATGGCCCCACGAAACGTACTCAGACAAAATGCACACACACACACACACACACACACACACACACAAACACACAGTCCCCTAAATCCATTTAATGCCATCTCCTCAGCAGCATGTTGACATAAGAGGCCAATGGGCTTAACCAAAGCACATTTAAACAGTGGTAAATGAAACCGGCTATGAAAAAAATCACTTAAGGATGCTTAATCGTGGAGCATACGCGCAGCTTGGCCCAGCCATCGGCCAAAGGAAGCTGCTAATACTTTGATGGTGTAAAATGTTTGTAATCTGCAGCTCTTTATGATGCAATCAGAGCTCATGGTAGGAACACTGTCGTAACCAGCATTCAGGAAGCAAAGTTTAACAAAGGAGTACGAGTGTGCTTTGTTGCTTTGTGAAATAAAAACAGACCTGGATGCAGTTGCTTTAAGTACCAAACCTCACATTTAGCCTAAACCATGCAAATCAAAGGGATTTTCGTTTGCATACAAACACCAAAAAGCTTTTTTGCTCTCCATTTAGAAAGTTGTCCAATCCCGTTCAGACAATGAAAATGAATTCTTTGGCATTACGCAGCGGCTTAGAGTTTAATTTAAGATTCGACTACAGCTGCAATATTTAGCCAATTAATTGCTTGGGTAAAAGAAAATGAAGGAAAAGTATTTTCATAATTGTCAAGCAAAATGCCAAATATTGTTTCTCACAATATGAGGATTTCCTGTCTAACACATGACAGAAAATCATACACTTTGGGCTGTAAAAGGCTGGCTGCGGGAAGTTATGGTTTACTTTTCATGCATTAAACAAATAAAACGATGAAGAAAATAATATTCACATTAACTGATGGTGAAAAAAAATATCAATACGAGCAGCAATTTAAGTAAGTTTTCAACTTATCTGACATGGCAGTAATTTAGATATATATAAAAAAAATCTAACACACGTTGACCTCACATATGTCCTTACACAACAAGAAAAACCAAAACACACAGACACACGCATATAGGAGTTAAAACTGTAATTGTAAACTGTTTTAGTAACTGTACATTGTAAGCATTAGATGGTGTGATCCACTAAGGCTCTCTACTCTAATTGTCTCAGGCTAATTTAACAAGTGGCAGATGTGAGAACCTCTAACCGACTGCACCACCCTGAAAACACGCACGCACACACACACACACACAATCCCCGGAACCCACCCTCTCACAACCATTACTCTAATAATTAGTGCCTCTGAGGCTTTGAATGGAGCGCAGCGGGAGATGAGTTAGTGTGTGTGTACCTGTGTGTGTGTCTGTGTGTGTAAATGTGAGTGGACATACAGAAAGTGTTTGTTTGTCTATAAGAGGGTAAAAAAAATAAGAAATGAAAAATCTGTAATCGCAAATGTATGCATATGGGGACAAGTGTGTGTATGTCTGTATGCCAATTTGTGTGTGTGTGTGTGTGTGTGTGTACTATGGGGGCTTTATCAAGTGTCTAGAGACCCCGGGCGGAAGTGGGGAGGGCGGTGTTATGAACAAATAATTGATACAGAAAGAAAGAAATAATTAGCAGATTTGGGCCGGTGTCCACAGCCCTTTATTCTCTCCTGCCAGGTCTGCAGAGCGAGGGAGTGCAGCGCGAGGGGGGCGGTACTCCCTGGAGGAACGCGCGATGGAGGGAAAAACACTGATGGATGCTCTTAAGGGAAGGCCCCTGGACACACACAGCACAAAAGGATTTGCCCGCAATTAGCTAGCAGAGTCGCCTTGCTCACCTGTGGCACCTGTTATGTGTGTCTGAGTTGGCGCGTGTGGCGCGAGAGAGTGTTTGCGTGACAGAGTGGCGAGGAAAGGGTAGACGGTAGATGCATGTGGGGTGAGCAGGTGTAACCGCGGCGTCTATGCCGCCGCTGTAAGAGAAAGTGCGAGGTATAGACGTCATTGTGGTTTTTATAAAACTGAACATTTAAATGCTAATGCGTTCGCATTTGTTTGTTTGTTTTGTTTGTTGCTGTGGGCAGAGAGAGGTAGCCGGGCATGATGTTTGTGTCCGTAAATCTGCTTAAAGCTCAATGAACCTCTGGAATATTTAAATCACCTAAAAAACAGAATTTCTTTCAGTAAATTCAAAAATAAAAACAATACACCAGAAAGCCCTTTGTTTACACTATAATGGGCATGCCGGTTGCAACAGCACTAATTAACATCAGCAGCACCAAAGTAACCAATACGACAGTCAAAAATGTCTTATGATGTTAATTGTACACTAAAGGCTCCCTGAATGTCTTGGACCAGCTGATCAGGGCTGTCAAACCCAGTAGCACTTAGGGCCACTAATTAAGGGCCACAAATATATAGCATATATAGCACACTTTAATTTAATGTAAAATGCATGTTCCACATAGCCTAAAGACCTTCAGTCAATACAAACGCTGCTCATCTTTCATACCGTTTGGTCAAGCAAAGAAATTTCTTATTATACCTTTACAATAAAGCATATAACATACATCAAACTGTACTTGCTTTAAATGCCTGAAACATAAAGCTACAATCACTGGACTTTAAAAAACAAATAAGTGTCAAACTCATTTTAGTTTGACAGCCACATGAGACCAGTAAGATTATTCACTTCTAAGCTATAATAAAAAAGAAACTTCTCCAAATTGCTCCCCTTTAATTTAGTGTAATTTAGTGTTCAATATACCATCCATTTATAATACTAATGAGCCTGAGAGTCTTAAGAAAATGAAGTGTAATTTCAGCAATACACCAGTAAGTCTGGGGCTTACACTTCAAGAAAAAAATGTGTTACAGATTACTCTATTTTAAGTCATCCTAGTTTTACAACGGTGCCATCGTACAAAAAACACAAACAAAAGGAAACATTAAGCTACTTAACTCATTTTCTACGGTGAAAAAAAAGAACTTTCAGTTATTTAATGGAATATTAGATGTAAAAAGATACCCTGTCATGTGACAGTTTATTTATTACTTACTTTCTTTAGGGCAGTATGGCAGACGATGGATGATGTTTTTAAAACGGACAACTTCTGACTAAATAAAAAGTTCAGGCTCTCTTGATGTGGCCCATTTGACAGGAAAAATACAGTGAAAAGTCCAAATGTTTGCAATTTTCACATTTTAAAAATGCAGTCCTAAAGTCTGTCTATTAAAGTAGCCTGATTTTATAGGGGGGCTTAAGTATATGAGTATGTCTGCTTATAAAGCTAAAAGTCAATAAGTAAGGGCCAGGATCACTTTCTTCAAAGTGTAGGGGTTTTTTTTAAGTTAGGGTCCTGTGATGATGTGCTAGGGGGTAAAGAATTCATTATGTCAGTGTGCCTCTACAACTAACCATGCGTCACCGTGCTGGCTGGTAGTCGGCCCACTAATGTACGGTCTATACACACTTGTTCGAGCTGAGGTCCTTGTACAGTCAGGGTCACCAGCACTCCACTGCTGAGCATGACCTGCAGGACAGCACACACAAAAACAGAAACCTCAGAATGACTACAGCTAAAAGAGATTTAGTCTAGTCTCTCTATTACACCATTCAACAATGAGCAGCTCCTTTGTTGAGTTTAAAGCCCATTTAATGTCACAGATAATGTACAAGGTGTGCACCTATGAGGAGGAAGTGTAACATCACAATTAAAATCCAACAGGTAACTTTGGGAAGAACTTTAATGTGGAAACGTGAAGCATGCATTGCATAAAACAGCGAAAATTGACTTTAGTGATGTAGAAGACATCACATATGAAGTTTATCATATGAAATTAAACCAGGTAATTTTCTTAAATGTTGAGACTATGTACCAGATTTTGACTTAGCAATAATCAAGACATAAAGAAGAAAAGAAATGCGTGGCTCCAAAGGAGATGTGCAGCTCTACGTGCTCCTACTACAACCCAAGGATGATGTTACTAATACAAACAGCAGCTTCTGGCTTCCATTCATGCTCATAAGAAGCTGGGAAAAATGAACTTGAATTAAATACAGTTTATTTATCCTTGTTATGATTGCTGGCATAGTTTGAATTTGTTTACTCTTTAGATTAGCTTTAATATTAGAAATATGTCTAGAGTGAGTCTTTCTAGCTCATATCAAGAAAGAAAGAAAATAGTGAAGGAAATCATTTTTCTTTTATAAACCGAGAGTCCTAAAGAGGGACTTGTAGGTTAGATGCTAAAGAAATTTGGGGATTTTTCTGTGTTAATCTTAGCAAAATAAAACTGATATTTTAATACAAGTTTAATTTCTAAAGAAATTAGCTTAACTCTCAGATTCACTACTCTGTTATCACTTGGGGTTAAAGAAATGATCGTGCTCGGGGATGACACAATAAACAAATTCACATATTACTAACATTTAAAAAAAAACTAGAAACTTGCTTTTACCAGGATTAGCAACATGCAAATCAGCCTTAGGGATTTTTAAAAATGCCATGTTGTAATTATACTGATATTGTTTGAGATGAACTAGTAAGCGGTGGTATAATAAAGAGAAACTCTTGAAACTTCACCCACAAAAGACATATCTGAGTGTATGTGTGTGTGTCTCTACTTCCACACAGTAGGTCTTGGGCTTAGGAGGGTGTATACCTGGCAGCAGTGCTTGTTTCTCCATCTGGTGTGAATGCAGGTGTTGGTCTGCAACAGTTCCTGAATGAGCACGATGGACAAACGGAGAGAAAGACAAAGAGACAGAGTTGAACCAAGTAACGCAACAAAAGTGAGCTGAGACCAGACAGGTGCTTTAGACAGAGTGGGAAATTAAACAGCAAAAAATATGTCTGTGTAAGTTTCTGGAGTCACAATTCGCTAACTTTCTAATGCATAAATTGTCTTGGTAGCACACAGTACCAGGCAACTGCCACCACAGGAGGTCACTGCAGCAGTTCCTGCTCATGAAGAGGTGGAAGAGGGTTGAGAAAGGGGTGCAGGTAACAACTCTGTGTGTGTGTGTGTGTGTGTGTGTGTGTGTGTGTGTGTGTGTGTGTGTGTGTGTGTGTGTG